TTGCCCAAATCTGAAGTTCTGAGATCCAGGAGAACCAACGGTATAGGACCTAGCCCAAGGACAAAAGAAAGTCAGTGTCTCAGCTCAGGAGTTAGACCAGGAGAACAAATTCTCCTGTCTCTGCCATTCAGTTCTCTTCAGTTCCTCAAAGTACCAGGTGAGGCACACCTAGTTGGGAGAAGACAATCTGTGTCCACCAGTCTACCGATTCCAGTGTCAGCCTTGTCCAGATACACCCGTCCAGACACCCCCAGGAGTAATGCTTAGCCAGGTATCTCGGCTGCCTGTGATTCAGTGAAACTGACACCCAGAATTACCCATCCACTTACTTTTTCTTCTTGGAACCTATGACACTTTTAAAAAGTTTGAGTAAGCTGTACTTCTTCTAAGCCTTATCTCTTATTAGAAATTTAAATTGTTGTGTAGATGCTTTTCAATTTCCCCATCACTCAGAACATTAAGAAGCTGCTGCTGGTAAGATTTGGTTTAATCCCAGCACTTGGAAGGCAGAGACAGGCAGATCTCTGTGAGTTCAAGGCCAGGCTGGATAGGCACCAAAACTACACAGAGAAACCTTGTCTCAAAAATAAAAAAATAAAAAAAATTGGTTGTTCCACAGTGAAGCACTAACAAGAAACATTAGTTGTGTGTGCCCGAGAACTCGCCATAACCACATCGTCCCAGCCCTCAACCGTATATTGGATTGAAAGAATACCAAATCCAAGGCCATAGACCTCATAGACTGTGCAGCGCACAAACCACACTGGGTGACCCCATGAAGGGCACTGGCTAGCAGAGGAAGGAAACACAAGGAAATCAAGTCACTCAGAGAAGGGAGAGCATGCCTAAAGCTGGATGAACAGGAAGAATGGGGTTATTAAATGTAAAGTCCCCTGTGCAAACACTGGTGCCACCATGTCTTCCTAGAAAAGTGGTCTGGGGTAAACGACTTGAGGCCTGTGAACCCTGGGGATCCTTTTCAGCAACCCTCCCCAGCTTACAGCCTCAAATGCTAATGAGACCTCCTGGAAGGGAAAGTCATATTGAAAGTGGGAATTTTTCTCCTAAGAAGGAGAAGAGATGCTTATGAAGGAGGGGGTTTGTCTCACCAGTGGTGATTGAGGCGGGGAATAGGGCATTTGCAGAGTATGTGTTTTTGCCAGCACAGGGGTCAGGGTAGGGTAGATACCTCTCTTCTTCATTCCTGCTACTCTCCTGAGTGATGGCTCATGAACAGCAGCCCAGGGAGCACCTGCTACCTCCCTATGAAGAATGAAGCCCATAACCCCAAAATGAGTCTGTTTCCAGACACATAGTTCATCAAACCCTTCAAGGATCCTTCAGTCTCTCTACTGTCTGCTCCAGTAAAAACTACATACCCTCATACCCAGGCCCATACTCAAACGTGCTCAAGCCCAGACAGAGTGAATCATATATACAGAGCCAGGGGGAAGGGAGATCAATATTTGTCCAACGGAACAGAAAAAAATCAATCAATGGAGAGGAAAGAAAATGTTATCTCTAAGCCTTTGAAAGCTGTGGCTTAGATGTGTCCATACCGCCAGGTACAGAAGGAAAGGAAGGAAGAAAAAGAAAGCCTTTATCTTTATGGCCTGAAGCTCATAGTCAGGAAGAGCTCAGTCTTCGGGGGCCATTTCTTTCTCCTTTGTTACCTGAGATGAGATTCGCATAGCATAAAATGAGTCATGTAAGGGGGCTGGAGAGATGGCTCAGCAATTAAGAGCACTTGCTGCTCTTCTAGAGGACCAAAGTTCAGTTCAAGCTTGCACATGGTGACTCACATCTATAATTTCATGTACAGGGTATCCAAGGCCTCTTCTGGCCTCCACAAGAATCAGGCACACATGTGGTGCACATGCATGCATGCAAGCAAAACACTCGGGGACATAAAATTAAAATAAAATACTTTTAAAGGAGCCATTGTGTAGAAAACAATCCAGTGGCATCCGATATATTTCAGTGTTTTGTAATCACCACCTCCGACAAATGCCAAAGCATCATGATATATTTCTTACACTAGAATTGCTTGTGCCAAAACTATGCCTGAAAGTGCTCAATTTATTTTTCTTACACTTTTCTAGATTGTATTTGAGCCACCAAATTCTTGCTCCCCACCTAACTTACATAAGTTACCTTCAGTGTTTAAAAATGGACCAACATATATTCCACATTTGATAGGGTGGGAGAGGGAGGTGTTTATGGTGTTCTGCATGCAGGAAAAACTCATGTTCCTGTTCCTATGTATACGGACAGACTGCTTAAACAATGCAGCGAGAAACTAAAATTTATTTTCTTCCTATGCATTTCTTCTGCTTCGGGTTCCAGGCACATTCACTGCTAATAAAAATGCAAAATGACACGAAGTCCCTCGGTTCCTCAGCAAATGTTTATCTAGACAAAACAAGCTTGGTGTTTGGAGCCAAAAGGATGCAGAACATGGGTGGTGGAAGGAGCCAGTAGGTAGAGAAGCTGCCTTCTGTTCATTGTGTCTACAGCTACCTCAAGGTCACTCGTGGGTATTTTCCATGGCTGCTTAATCACAAAAGAGTCTCACTGGGACTCCATTTTGCCGGAGTCTTCCTACAAAGCTCGTGGATGTGATGTGGCTTTCCTTGCCTGCTCTGCCCTATTGATCACATTAGACGTGGTAACTGTGTTAGGCTGGCACTCTACACCAAAGCTCTCCATGCCGGATAAATACCCGTGTTTTACAAACAACTTGTGTGTTACATTAGACCTAGAAATACAAAGAATCCAAAAAGTCTTCCTTAAAAATGTACCAGCAAAGTTCTTTCTTTGCCGTCTCTCAAATAACAAGATAAAACGATGGTAGACTCTTGTCTTAGAGTCCTGAAAAAAATAACTAACTTGTGATTTATGAGCATTCCACCTAAAGGAATAATCAATAGATGAAAGGGACGAGGACAGAACAATCCAATAAGTAATTTTAGACCTATCCAGCCTGCTATTACTTCTATAAAGTTCTGTGTTACCACTCTGTAGTAGGCACCCAATATACGCTTATTATTTGAACTGAATATGGAAATTTTTCCATTAGTCATCTTTATGGTGCATTTAGCCTTACTCTATTGATCAAATAACTATATTGTTTGGTGCCAGGTGCTCCACTCAAAGAAACAATTATTTTTAAATAGATTTCGATTTTTGTAATGATCCGCTCTGTTCCCAGCTCCTCTCCTTCAGTACCTGCCAAACATCATTCATGAGACCTTTAATACTCCCAGTGCACACAAGCACGGCTTCTTGAAACTGAGACTCACTTGAAAATTTGAGTTCTGGTAGGAGTCTTAGCTGGGGTCATCCTTGTGGATTCCTGGGAGTTTCCCTGGCACCAGGTTTTTCCCTAATCCCAAAATGGTCAGCTAAGACTCCTAGCAATGGTTGAGAGGGTGCCTGAACTGGCCATCTCCTGTAATCAGATTGGTGACTATCCTAATTGTTATCATAGAGCCTTCATCCAATAACTGATGGAAGCAGATGCAGAAGTTCACAGCCAAGCACTGGGCTGAGCTCTGGGAATCCTGTTGAAGAGAGGAAGGAAAGATTATACAAGCCAAGAGGGTCAAGGTCCTCAAAAGGGAACCCACAGAAACAATTTATCTGGGCTCATAGCAGCTCACAAGACACTGGATCGACAGTTAGGGAGCTTGCATGGGACCGACCTAGGCTCTCTACATATGTGTGATAGTTGTGTAGCTTGATCTATTTGTAGGACTCCTAGAAGTGGGATCAGGGTCTGTCCCTAACCCATGAGCTGGATTTTGGGAGCCTATTCCCCATACTGGGTTGCCTTTCCTAGCCTTAATACAAAGGGAGGAGCTTAATCCTACCTCAACTTGATATGTCATACTTTGTTGGCACCCATGGGAGGCCTACCCCTTTCTGAACAGAAACAGAGAAGTGGATGGGGAAGGCAGAGGGGAGGCAGGGGAGGGAACAGGAGGAGAGGAGGGAGGGGAAACCGTGGTCAAAATGTAAAACAAATAAAAAAATTTAATTAATAAAAAAAAAGAAAGAAAGAAAACGTGAGTTCTAGACTGGTTATCTTGAGAAGCCTGCCCTGCTCCAAGATATGCATTGCATGTCTTTCTCCCACGCTTATCACCTGTGCTTAAATTTAATTCCATATTAGTCTTTTCTTAATAAACTCTAGTTTTGCTTTTAAAAAAAATCCAAATTCCTGAACTTCCCCCATGTTCTCCTGCAATGTTTTATGTCTGAGAAGGGACTAGGAATCTCCATTTCAGCAAGTATGCTGGGTGACTCTAAGGCATGTTATCTTCAGAGCAAACACTAGAAACTGATCCACGGATTTGACTGCTCTCAAGTCTGATGGGCGAGTCCTCGAGCCCAGGAAATCGTGGCTTACTTGACCTGTCCTTTTGCACTGCATGGTTATTTCTTGCCTTCGGGTGGCACTAAGAGGATTTTTCGCTTATCTGTCTGTGGGGATTTTTGCCAGTTTAGTAGGGGCAACGCTTTCTGTGTACATTTGAATTGTATAGGGGGGCTAGTAGTAGCACTGTGCCCAGTGATGTTGCCTTCTGGTCCCTCTGGTGGTGTGGATCTGGGGCTGAGAGTCACGCCATCATTCCTGGCAGAGCAATTCCTGGGTTGGAATTTTTTTTCCAACAGTTCCTGTGTTTGAAACTTTTGTAAGGTTCCGCATGTTTCTTTGTCACCAACAAATATCAGCATAGAGCAGCTTTTGTTTTGTTATATAAACTGAAGAAATTGCCATAAAACTTTTGACTTTGTCATCTAACAGAATATGCAAACTAATTTTTCAGTATATTAAGTAACTTACTATAGTTGATCTAATTGTATTTGTGGAAACAAGTATACACCATGATGATAAGGAAGAAAAACCGACCTAACAATGTGTCTTGCTGCTTATTAATATTTCCTGAGTGTCCCTATGCTGTGGGTATAAAATGAACTTTCTTGTTGATACACAGGGACTTTTAGGTGAAAAATATGGGAACATTCGAATCCCGGGGGAAGTCGAAGCTTCAGAGTTTGAGATGATTTTGGATGCTGCTGTAGAGGCAAAACTAGAGACGAAGTTACTGGAAGATTGGTACTGTCGAGATGAGAACTCTGTGCCAGCAGCGTATTACCTCAGACCCAGGCTAGAGGTAACGAGAAGCAACAAGAACTCAGTAAGTCCGCCTTCTCTGACTATCCCTCTAGGGTAATTTTCCTTCCCTCTGGAGTCTATCTATCATAAATTATACTAATGGAAGTCTATCAGTTACGAACTCTCTCAGGAGATAGGAGAACATCATGATTTAAATTGCTCTGGTTGGCATATGTCATGCCTATCATCTGCAAGTTCACATACCCTATTAATTCTCAAAATGATTCCACCATTATCTTACCAAATGCTCACTCCCCTCTTTCCTCTCATCCTGGTTAGTTGGTATGGTCAACTTGACCCAACCTAACATAGCCTGGAAAGAAGGAATCTCAATTGAAAGATATGCCTCCATCAAATTGGCGTCGGTGCATATCTGTGGAGCATTGTTTTAATTGCTAGCCGATACTTGAGGGTTCCATGCACTGTGGACCACCCTAGACCAGGGACCCAGGCTATGTAAGAAAGCTGGGGGCATAAGCCAGGGGGCAGCATTCCTCCATGGTTTCTGCTTCCGTTCTTGCCTGAGCTTCTGCCTTAACTTCCTTTGATGGTGGATTGCAACCTGGAAGCGTAAGCCAAATAAGCCCTTTCCTGCCCTAAGCTGCTTCTGGTCATGATGCTTATCACAGCAACAAGACACACACTAGAGCACTTCATATTTCCCTTTCAGTTCCTCAGTCAGATTTCCACAGGGCAGTCTCAGTCTGTCTCAGTATCTCAATTCTCCCTCACAGTGTTATTTTCTCCCCTCTCTCCCTCCTGCTTTCCAGAAAAGTACCTCGGGTTTTTATTCCAATTTATTGATATTTTCTTCAGCTGTTTTTACTCTATCAACATACTGATTTCCAAATTCAACAGTTGTATTTTCTTTCATGAAAGGTTTGTGTGTGTGTTTGGTTTTTATTGTTCTTTGTGTGTTTGTTTCATGGATCCTTTTAAAAATATGCTTCACTAGTTTATGGACCCTTTGATAGTACATTTTTGATAGCACATTTTTAGTACATTTCTGATGGTTTTCCTTAACGGTTCCAAGAGTACATGTTCTCATAGCCTGTGTAGAATCATAGAGTAAACTGCTTTATGCCTCACTCTCTCCTCCAGTCCACCTTGGCTTCTAAGTAGACCTATTATTTGTCTTTTAAAACTAAGCAAAGGACAAAGAGGGGCACAGTGAGTCTGTTCGTTCCTCTGAATGCTTAGGGGAATTTTAAGAAGACTCATATCCATCTGTCCTCCAAAGCGAGCATCCTGGATGTAACTGGTACCCAGACAGCTTCAAGAGGAAAAGAGTGATAGGTTATCTTCATTCTTGTGTGTTTGTCTTTCTGATATGGTCTTTGTGCTGAAGAAATCAGGTCAAAGTCCCTGATTTCCTCACATACACACTGCCATTACTTAACTTAGCTATAACAACAGTGCTTTCCTAGATGGGGCTATTAGAGTTAACTCACAGCATCCCAGAGTTGAATATACAGGAGTGAATGTAGAGAGCATGGACAGTGAAACCACAAGGAGCTGTTTGACACAGTGTTCTGGGGACACTTGCTCCTCTGTGACTATTTAATTGTTTGTTTACTTTGTTTCCATTTATGTCTACGGTCCTCCAGGGAAATGTAAATCAATCTCAAAATGTCCAAAGCTTTTTATGCATAAATCATTCATAATTATTGTTGAAGAAATAAATGTGTGAATGAGACTTTTAAATGTTTCGAGACTACATAAATATTTTTTTCTTGTTAAACAGTCCTCCCACTTTCTTAGCCGATTATAAAAAAAAAAAGAAGCAAAAAAAAAAAAAAACTAAAGACATATGGTGGCACACAGACTCCCCACCCCCTTAACGTTTCTTCTCTCCTCTTCAGAGGACATTATAAAGATTATATTGTTATGACATTTAAAATCAAAACCCAAGAAGGAAAGCTTTGGTAAAATAATAAAACCTGTCTTAGTCCTATTTACTGTTACTATCACAAAATAGTAAAATAAAAGCCTGGCTGCTTTCTAAGGAAAAGAATTTCCTTTTAGCTCACAGTTTGGGACTTTGAAAGTTCAAGGCAGACACTGGGCTTTGAAAGTCCAAGGCGAGCACCTCCATCTCCTCAGCTCCTGATAAGGGACCTCTTGACTATATCACCACAGTAGGAGCTCATACAGATGAAACCATATGGTAAGACAAGAAACCAGAGAGCCTCAGAAGTTGGGCTGTCCCTTGTTATAAGAACCCATGCCTTCATGTGACCAGGGAAAGTTTACATGTAACATGAGGATGATTTCTTACTTCAGGACTAGGGAGGAGGGAGGAAGAGGAAATGAGGCATTGGAGAGACCAGCTCTCGTAGCATCGGCGGACCCAGTCTTGCCCTTAAATCCTGGCTGATCTTTCGTGAGTTCGAGACTAACTTTCCACTTTCAACTTTTCCTAGATGCAGCCTCCTGCCGGTCCTGAAAATGAGAGGCCGTGGCAAGAAATATCAGACGAAATCAAAACAATATTTAAAGCTGCCGTCAAACTGCTCCATGAACAGGGTAAAATGAAGCACAGTCAGGCTAAGAGGTACCTGTTCTCAGGTAATTCTCACGTGTCTTCAGTCAATTACGAAAAGGGTGAAACATGCACGCGTCTACGGCGTCTACAGGATTCTTTAAATTTAATCCCATTTGGTACCAAACAAAGTTAATTGGATAAGTGTTTTCCCATCCCAGAAACATGTGTTAACTCCTGGGAAACCCTTTCCTTAGTTTGTCGGCTTCTCTAGCAAATATGATTTTAAAAGACGTTCAGAGGTGGCTGGGTATAACAGCCAAGACTGTCATTGTTTCTCAGTGGAGCCTCCCTCCCCTCTTAGTCTCCCGGCAAGTGTGTGCAGACCTGTCTTGGTCAATTTGAGACAAGCTCTGAGGAGACAACAAGGGAAAAGAAAAGTTACTGTTCTCCTGGAAACTGATTGCAGTGAGGCAAAGGCACAATTGTCAAGTAATAAACAAGCAAGTTCTTTACTGAAACAAAATAACTTGTAACATGAACAAAACATAGTTATATAGTAGTAGCCAAGGAGAGATGCTGGGGCTGTGGGGTGGATAGGGTGGGCTGAGGAGTGATTTTTGAGAGAGAAGATGGAAGGAATCAGAGTTAGTAGTGTCATGACCGTCTAAGTGAAGAATCCCAGGCAGTGGGACTAGCTGGTTAGAATCCCTCAGAGGGAGTGGCCTGGGTATCAGTACATAAGCATGGCCCTCAGCCAAGGGCCTAAGGGGGTTGTTTACTCTGGAACCAAATGTGAATGACCATGGCCTGGGAACACAGGTTCAGGTTACTCCAAATACCCTGTGTAACATGGTAGCAGGTTCCTGAAGCTTTTATAGTTACAGAACAAAAGAAAGCAATAAATCAAGGCATTTCCAGATACATTGGTAGAGACATCAGGTAGGTGGGTTACAGCCCAGCAGAGAATTCCCTGCTATAGGCATCAGATGCTGCCTGACAACATTCTTAGCCTGTAAATCAGTGGAAGCTAAGGGTCTGTTTGTATTTACATTCCAAAAAGGTTTTCCCCAATAGCTGAAAAGATGTTTAGTTGATGCAGAGAAAAAATGGTTATTCATGAGGCTAAAGGTAATCTAAGAAAATTTAGCTCTGGACCTGCAACATTCCAGTTCCCCACAATCACAACATTCTAACCCATCAAGCCACCTCTTAGAATGTTCAACACGGGCAAGGCTTATTCTGGGAACTCTCCTGAACAGCAAGAAAGTCAGGTTTGGAGAGGATGACAGGAGGTCTGAAGGTAGCCATCTGAAGAGCTTTATACTAAGCAGTAGGTGACTTGGGAATCCGGTGAGGAGGGTATGGGACTGGAGAAAAATGTGCCAGGACTCAATTTTATATTAAAATAGCACACACACATACACACACTCACATATGCACAAACAAACACATACACACACTCACACATGCACACACAATACACACAGACACACTCACATACATATACTCACAAACTCACACACACATACACACATACACACACTCACATACATACACTCTCATATATACACACCCATACACACACTCACAGACAGACAGACACACACACACACACACATCTTCCAGCTCCTCATTACCGAGCAGTTTGTAGCCTCCCACAGGCAGGCAGAGGAAGTCTCATTGTCAGAAACTGTAGGAAAGCCCAGATCTGAAGGAATAAGGCAGTCACAGTTTCGAGAAAACAAACACCACTGGGCAAAGGTTATCAGATATGCGGAATAGAACTTCTTTTTAAAGTTCATGATAAGAAATTGTTGAGGAAAAGCGATAATAATTGCACTTTCAGATTACTGTTTTGAATGCTGTGGCCTGAGAAAACAGAATCCCAATACCATGTTCCAATGTGGTGAAAGTATCAGGAAGTTTTTATAGTTACAGAGCAAAAATCATGTGTAAAAAACTCAAAAAGCATTTGACCCCCAACCACTGAATACACCTATACAAACAGCTTTTTCAAGCTGTCAGTCCAGTGGCGCAAGCGCAAAGACAGGAAGTGAAAACAGTGTCCAGTGAGGACAGGGGAAAGTTTGGAATATGTGTACATCAACATCAGGCATTCTGTTCTGCAGCTTTCTGTTTCTATCACAAATGCTGAGGGGAGAAAAGTCTTCATTTTGGTTCCATCTTGGAGCCTCCAGGCCATGATCAGTCAATCAATTAAATGCCCCATTGCCTTTGGGCCTGTGGTAAGGTCACATACCACGGCACTAGCTTGTGGCAAAACCATTCACCCCACTGTGAGTAATGAAAATGAGAAACAGTAGCCTAGAGTCCCATAAGTCCCTTCAAAGACATGCCCCATCAACCTGAGACCTCCCACTGGACCACAGCTACCTCCTAAAAGTTCAGCCACCTCCCATTAACTGACTCCAGGGAACACCCCTTTAGAACACACAGCATCTGAGGGTACTCCAGATCTAAACCACAGCAGGAGTTATGAACACAAGTTTCGCCTAAACTAAGAAGGTGCACGGTGCCTCCAAGATCTGGAGAATGGACTTCGTGTCACGTTGCTCCTTTATTCTGGTTCATTTATACTGTCGCAGGCATTGCTGGCTTTTTCTCTTAGTACTGCCTGCTTCCTCTCAACCCGCACTGCACACGACTAGCAGGATGTATAGCACATTAGCGCATCGTAGTTGCTCAAGAAAGGTCAGTTTATGAAGAAGGAGCAAGGATAGCTGGAAAAAAGGGATGGAGGGAGGAATGTAGTTGGTATTCTTTAATCTTTGGTTCTTTATCTTTGGGGGCCCACCACCCAGCTGTCAAATAAATATACGGAGACTTATCCTTTCTTATGAATATCCAGTCTTATCTTGGCTTGTGTCTAGCCAGCCTTTCTAACTTAAATCATCCCATCTACCTTTTGCCTCTGGACTTTTATCTTTCTCTAGTCTATAGACCTTTCTTTACTTCTTACTCCATTGCTGGTTGTGTAGCTGGGTGGCTGGCCCCTGATGTCCTCCTCTCCTCCTTTTCTCACTCCTCAATCCTGCTTCTTCTTTCTGTAATTGTTCCCTCTGCCTGGAAGCCCTGCCTATCCCTCTCCTGCTTTGTTATTGGCTGTTCAGCTCTTTATTAGACCAATCAGATGTTGTAGACAGGCAAAGTAACACAGCTTCACAGAGTTAAACAAATGCAGCATAAAAGAATGCAATATGCTGGGCGGTGGTGGCCCACGCCTTTAATCCTAGCACTTGGGAGGCAGAGGCAGGTGAATCTCTGTGAGTTCGAGGCCAGACTGGGCTACAGAGTGAGTTCCAGAAAAGGCGCCAAAGCTACACAGAGAAACCCTGTCTCGAAAAACAAAAAACAAAAAAAAACCCCAAAGAATGCAATACATCTTTGCATCATTAAATAAATGATGTTCCACAGCATAAACAAATATAACACATCTTCAACTAATATTCCACAACAACAGACTTATCTATAGGCCAATTGAGTGGAGGGGGCATTTTCTCCATTGAAGTTCCCTCTTCCCAGATGACCTGTGACTTGTGTCTAGCTGATAAAAAGTCTAACCAGGACTAGAGGGAAAAAAGGATGGAAGGCAGAGAGATGGGGAGGGAGAGTAGGTGGAACTAAAAATGCATACTTTTTTCTGTACCTCTGTGTACTATAGGCCATACGTGGTTTAGTTCAGAAGAAATGATGTCCTATACTAAGTCATTTTCTATACCTTTCTGAGACCATGGAATTGAGCAGTAGCATGGAGTATTAACATTGATCAATATTCAGAATATGGCTACATTTTATTTTAAGATGTGCTTTTTCATTTCTAGTTCAGCACATCTGTCTAGGGTACAATACATCTCAGATTAAATGATGATACCACACTGTAAAGGGTGGCCTGACAAGGAACCAGGAGCCTGACTATGTCACTTGGCTGCCTCCATGTTTCCTGGCCCTAAAGGGAGCCCACTGTTTCCACAATTAAAAGGGTAAAGTTGGAGAGAGAAATTCAACTTAGAGCTTAGAGTCATCACTATGAACACGGCATGCTTGCTTTATCAAGCTGTGTTCAACTTCTGCTTCCCATTGCAAGGGAAATAAAATATTTTATGGGGAAAAAAATCTACTCTTCTGGGTCCTACCTGTTTAGGAAAAGACTAGTGTGAACTTGGAAATCACCCCACAGGTTGCATCACTACAAATTATAAGCAAAATAATCTCCCCCAAAGTGACTAATAGCTACATATTAGGAATTAGGGCCCATGGCTCCTTCATTTAAGGTAATAATCCCCATCTTAACTTCTTCCAGCTATCGAGGATGAGTTTGACTTTGCTCTAGGCAAGCAAACTCCAGCATTCCTGAAGAAGTGTGTGTGCTACATCAGGAAGATTGCTAACATCGAGCGCTTCGTGAAAATCCCGGAGATGGGAAAATACATGGACATAACTGGAACCGAGCCAAGAATCATCCGTGACCCAGAAGCTCAGGAGAAGCTGATAAAACTCAGGGATGAATTCATTCCTACCATCGTTGCATCCTCTAACCTGAGAGTATACACGTCTGTCACTCATTGTGACATGAAACTGGGCTATTCCCAAGAGATAGAAAATCATTACATAGAAGGACTCGGTAAGCAATTTTATGAGGACATGATTGACATAATTCAGGCAACAGTGCAGCAGAATTTTGACACAGAGACTGATACACTGTACGATGAAATCCTTCAGCACTCTTCACTTTGTAAAACATACGCCTCCTTCTATGAATACAAGTGCGAATCGCTAAACATCTTGCATAAGTACATCCTGCCGAGCAAAACCGGGCACATCAACCCTCTCGTTGTGTATGGTGGGCCATGCACCGGGAAGACTCTGCTGCTAGCTGAAGTGGCAAAAAAGGTAAAAACAAATAAATAATAATCTACTCTTTCCTTTCTATGTTTGTGGAAATATTATTCTTGAGGGGAAAATAATAACTTAATCAAATTCAACTCTCATTTTTCTGTGTTTGCTATCTGAATTATAAGTAGACCTTTTGGCATGGATACATCTGTGTTTCTTTTTTGCTGGTGTGACAGCTGTGCTGTGAGAACAAGATGCATGGGATGTAACTATAAAACCATTTTCTTTGCTCACCCAGTATTCCGACTCATCTGCCTCACTTGCATGAAAAGGGAAACCAAGTCTTCAAAACTCTTCTCATCCTCATCAGGCAAAAACAAGCTTTCTAGTTCCTCTAGTCACTAAGTCAGGCTCAGCTCAGCCATAAGTGTGTCCAGTCTAAGGTGATAAGAAACACTTTGGTCTCTATTTTTCTCCTCCATCTGAGGCCTACCACAGTCAAGGCCCTCACTGTGAGTGTGGGAACATAGATGTCTTTATAGACCTAGTGCTTCTTCCTCCCTCCTTTCCTAGCCTCAACCACATTTATGATCCCTACTGAGTGGTAGTCTAGTGGAGATAGGAAGATGACAACTGGGGAGTTCTTATATGACTCCCATGCTGCTGTAAGGGAATGCTACACTTTTCTCTGAATAAGCATTCAAAGCCACCCACCATCTCTTCTGCATCCTGCCCATCATTTCCTGATCTTCTCCTCCTGCACCCCCAACCCCGAACCCACTGATCACTCACTGCAGCTCCCTAAGAGCAAAGCAGTGCATCCTTTCCTTGCTTATTGCTTTATCACTTCCTAGACACCCAATAACAAACTTCCAGAGTCTTTTAGGTAAGATCTTATCCAGGCAAACCCTGGGAGGCAGAAAGTACCCAGCCTTACCATCTCTTTCTTCTCAATGCTTCACATTGGATTCATGGGAAATACCCAGGTACTCTTTGGCCTTCAGAACCTAGACCCACAGCTCCAGCCCAGAATAACAGCCTTGTTTCACTCCTCCCTCAGAGCTGTTAGCTAGCCTGTCACTCAGCCCTGTGTCTCTCAGATGTCATGACCATGTCCACTGGCTTCACAGGGTCTCTACTCAAAAGTCTACTGAAGCCACTTTCTCTGGCTAGACGTGAAGAATGAGCATTGTTCTGCCTTCTCCTCTGAGGGTGAGGGGATGAGAGATCAGATCCATGGCTCCTTCATCTTCAACTTTTTCTTGACCCCACCCCCACCACCGCCCCCAGCCCTTTTTGCAGGCTAATTGTGTGTTATCACTAAAGTGACTTCAGAATCCCTATTTCCCTACATGAGTATTTGTGACCTCGTTTTAAAATGTATTATCTATTATCTTGCCATGTCGGCCTAAACTGTACTAAACTAGATCATTTTAATTTCTGTTACACTTGGCGTTCAAGTGGAACGGCTTCTGTAAGTCTAATGATCACTCAGAACTGTCATGTCATTCTTCTGTACACTGCCTAGCAGAGCCTTCTCTAACTCTCTGAATATTCCTGTAGTCTGTAAGGGGCCACACAAAATCAAATCGATCATCCTGAATACAAAAAACAGGGTTGGCTGCATTGCACCTGTTATGGTGATTTGGTGCCAAATCAAATTTACAGGTGAGCATCAGGTATATCATTCTTACCCTAATTGGCTATCTTTTAGTAGATCACGTCCAGCTGCTTTAATTCTTTTGCTAGAGGATGCAACCATTTCTTTAGTTAAGCACCAGCTGAGGTAGAGACCTGACCTTAGGCACCATATCTTATCAAAATAAACTGAGAGAGACAGAGACAGAGACAGCAAGACTTTAACTCTGGTTTGACTAGTTTGTATGTGTGTCTTCAAACTTTGGGATTATTTCTCACAGTCACACTGATGACACTGTGAGAGGCACATAAGAAGTTTGATGAGGATTTCCTTCCTGTGTAAGAAAGGATATAAGGAACAAATATTGTTGAACTGGTTGAGTAGAAGGTTCGTGTGATGTGCTTTCATGTGCATGAAAGGTCATAGATCTTATGAGACAGGCTGGTGTGCCCATACAGAAAAGCATCTCTACTCTGCAGTGTGCTAGTCATGTGAAGTTGATCTTGAGTGACAGCTGGGCTCTATGTCTTCCGGAGACCTGGTCCGGTTGTGTGTATCCAGATACTCACAGTACAGGGTTCTTCTTATCAGTTTTCTCAGCCCTTCTTACCACTTGTCTTTCTGGGGGAGTGACTAGCTGTCTGCCAGCAACGACTTTCACTGTCTTATGTCCTTGTTTCCAACAGGATCTCATACTGTCTCCTGTGAACCCAGCTCATGCTTATAGGACAGTCTCCATAGACGCCACATGAACAGTAGCCTCAGCATATGAGCAACCAATAACAACCATTGTCAAACAGACAATGTTTGGGTTCTGATCAGCCACCAGCGCACGGTGGGGGATGGCATTACTGTCATCTCTAAAACCAGCTTCTGACAACAAAACTAAGTAGCCAAATGCTCCTTAAGCGATGCCACCTACCAAACTGACATCCATAGATCTTAAATCTTACATTTTTCTTCATCTGAGCTATCTCAAAGATCGAAGTTTCCTAATTTATAGAAAAAAAAACTGTATATAATGTGGAGCGTTTACCCACCAACCCCACAGTTCCCCAGAGTTTTCTTGAGTGCGAGCAGAAGGAATTACTAGATAGAAAGATTTAAATTGTGGAGATAAACAGAAAATATAGGACAGCCTCAAGAGGCCCTGGAACCTATTCCAACGGGCCCTGACAGTCTCTGCCCCAGGATATTTATAGAGACACCAAGGGATGGAGCAAAAGACCTCCCCCCCACCCCAGCACAGCCAAGTGCAGACCATCTCAGACACCTGCACTCAGGCTTGTGGCCCTAAACATCCTCTATGCAGACCTGCTGGGTAAAGCCAAGAGGAACCTGAAAACGGGCTCCCACAATATAACTATAGAATTTATAGACTAACTCCTTATTTTCTAGAGAGTATTCTTGGTAATAGAATGGCTGAAAAGCTGTATCTCCCTAAAAATACTCTTTGCAGGACTGTTTTGCACTTTGATCATATTTCTCCCAACTTTGACTTTACAGGAAAAAAAATACTACATTTCACTGGTCTCTATATACTTTTCCCCCTTAGCTCTACCAGGAAGAAAGGGAAGGGTCAGGAGAGGAAGGGAAAAGGGCATGTAGAATGGAAGTCAGATATGGTCTCTACTTCAATTTTGCTTCTAATGACCATTCAACTTGAAGTAAGTTAGTGATTTAGCCTGAGCTTTGGCTTTCCCTCCCATTAAATATCACAGTCAATCCATGTGCCCTTCATAGAGATCATGTGAAGTGATGACTACCTGTCTACACAGTGGAGTATTAGAACACACAGCAATTAATTAACCTCATAACCAGAACTATGTAGACTTTTTAAAGATTTATTTTTATTTTTAATTATGTGTATTGTGTATGGGTCTGTGTGGGGATATGTGAACTTGAATGCAAGTACCCTCAGAGGCCAGAAGAGGATGTCAGTCTCCTGGAGCTGGAGTTACAGGTGGTTGTGAGTCAACTGTTATGGGTGCTAATAAGATATTAAGAGCAGTTGCTCTTAATTGTGACCCTTATCTCTAGTCTCAAATTTTGTAAATTTTTATGATAGAAGTAATAATCACAATGATGACCCTGTAGCATCACAAAACACCTCTTGGTTACAAAAGAGTCTATTCAGCATAATATATTGATGACAAATATTTTATTACATTCTGATTAACTAGTTATTGGTCAGCCATGTATAAAATTATACATTCTCAATTAATGAAAACATTTACTAGATGTGATTTATAAATCATTACTTAAGTCAGCCATTAAACAAACACTAAGTATATACTGTGTGCTAACAGCTACCAAAAGTTAGGGATTTAGATGAAAAAATGATCAGACTGTGTATCCAGATTCATGGTTATTGAATACTCTGTAGTTTTTAGAATTCAAACAAATATTTTCTTTCTTTTTTTTTTTTTTTTTTTTTTTTTTGGTTTTTCGAGACAGGGTTTCTCTGTGTAGCTTTGCGCCTTTCCTGGGATTCACTTGGTAGCCCAGGCTGGCCTCGAACTCACAGAGATCCGCCTGGCTCTGCCAAATATTTTCTTACTGTTTCACTGCCTGTGGGTCTCACCTGAAGATCTGCACATTGTGGCAGCTTTGTGGCAGCACTTTGGCCTACCCAGATGGTTTGTGCATTTCTTGGATCAGGGCTTCTTTTTGCATGGCTGGTGTTAGTCTGAGCTCTAGGCGGGGAACCTCATGAATTATGATTGTGTTAAGGCACAGCACTGTTCTAAACTCTGCTTGTATGTTCTAGGCTTATGGCTGGCTACATGAAGACACAGGGCCGGACTCTGACCCGGTTGTCATTGTGAGATTTCTAGGGACGACAGACATGAGTGTTGATCTGAAGACACTCCTTCTAAGTGTTTGCGAACAAATGGCCGTCAGCTACAGGTGTCTGGTTCAAAGCTATCCTAAGAAGATCCATGACCTCCGTGACTTATTTATAAACCTGTTAAATGAGTCTTCACTGCAGAGGCCTCTGGTGATAATATTTGATGCCCTGGAGCAGCTCTCAGAGAACGATGATGCTAGGAAGCTCTGGTGGCTACCTGCTCACCTTCCCAGGTTCGTGAGGATCGTCCTCTCCACACTGCCCAACAAACATGGGATCCTGCAGAAACTAAGGTGCCTTATCCATGAAGAAGACAACTACATCGAGCTGATTCCTCGGGATAGAAAGATGTGCAGCCAGGTCCTCAAACACCAGCTGCTGAGGGTAAAAAGGAAGGTCACATCCGGCCAGCAGATTTATGTAAACAACGCATTCTCCAAGTGCACGCTGCCTATGTTTGTGAACCTGACTTTCAGGGAGGTGAGACATTGGAGATCTCACAAGGATGTGGACGAATCCTCCCTCTGTGTGACTGTCCATGAAAGTATAGAACAGTTATTCTGGTCCTTGGAGAAGAAGTGTGGTCAGAAACTGGTCTCCAGAGCTCTGGGTTACATCACCATGGCCAAAATGGGTTTGAGTGAGATGGAACTGGAGGATGTGTTAGCTCTAGACAACAGCGTTATGAATGAACTCAATGAGAACACCAGACCCAGCAATCCCCTGAGAGTACCTTACCTGTACATCGCAAGGCTCAAGGAGGGGCTCAGTGGATATTTAATAGAAAGACACGTGAAGAACGTCACACTCTTAGTCTGGGCCAACAGACACCTGCAGCTCATAGCCCAGAAGCTCTATCTGCAGGAGGACAGAAACCTTCGTGAGATGCACACGATCCTGGCCGATTATTTTCTAGGGGTGTGGTCAGGAGGCAGGAGGAAGGCTTTCTGCCTGGAAGACCCCTACTTGAATGGCTGCCTCGACTTAGAGAATAGAAGCCTGCTCGAGGAAGAAAAGCATTTCATGGAACAAGCGTCCTTTGACAGGCAGGCCCCTGACCAGCCCTGGGTTTTCCAGTGTAACCCACTAGAGCCCGACATCTTTTTTGTCAATCACAGGAAAATGTCTGAGCTCTTGTATCATCTGACAAGGTGTGGGAAAACCGATGACCTGCTTTACGGAATCATCATGAACTTCAGCTGGCTTTACACCATGATCAAAATTGGCCAGTTTGACAAAGTGCTCGCAGACATAGAACTGGCTTACAACTACTCACAAGAAAAGGAGCTAAAGTTCCTAGCCAGCACGCTCCGTGGCATCAGAAACAAGGTCATTACGTTCCCAGGCTCCCTTTCAGCAGAGCTCCAGCAGAGGCTGCTGCCTGTTGTGAGTTCCCTGCCCAAACTCAGACATCTTCTTTTAGAATGTGACAAAGACGGACCTAAATACTGCTCCATTGTTCCTCTTCACTCATCCATGGACGTGACGTACAGCCCCGAGCGTCTCCCCTTAGCAGCCAGTCACCTGCATGTTACGGAGATTCTGCCCACCTGTAACCCCAGCACTGTTCTCACGGCTTTAGAAAATGGTTCCATCAGCACATGGGATGTCGAAACTCGCCAGCTACTCAGGCAAATCACCACAGCCCAGTCTGTCATCCTGGGCATGAAGCTCACCAGTGATGAGAAGTACCTCGTCGTTGCTACAACAAACAACACTTTGCTGGTTTATGACAACGTCAATTCCTGTCTCCTGTCTGAGGTGGAGATCAAAGGGACCAAGCATGGAAGTGGCTCCACCTACATCAACGGATTTACGCTCTCTGTCAATCATGCCCTTGCATGGCTGGAGGCCAGCAAAGATGTCACTGTCATTGATCTGCTCTATGGATGGCCCCTTTACCAGTTCCACTGCTGGTATGAAGTGACCTGTGTCCAATGCTCTCTGGATGGGGTGTATGCTTTCTGCGGCCAGTACCTCAACAATACAACCATTTTCCACTTAGGGAGTGGAGAAAAGCTGTGTACGGTGACATCAGAATTTTCAGGTGGCTTTGTAAAGTTTCTTCTCATCTTGGACACAGCCCAAGAGATGGTCATGGTAGACAGTGAGGGGAGCCTCTCTGTTTGGAATACCGAGGACATATCCAACCCCCAGCTGACCGAAGATTTTGACTGCCGAAAGGATGATAGCGAGGTGGTGAGCATTGAGCTTTCTGAGGACCAAAGTGCAATTCTGATCTGTAAGGCTCTAAGCATTGAGCTCTTAGACACCGGCATATGGAAGGTCGCTGAGAAGTTCAGAGCCAGGCACAATGAACGATTTATATCCGCCGTGCTATCCAAAAATGGAGACTGCATCATTGCCACCATGGAGAACACCCCAGCGGTGTTCTTCTGGAGGCGGGACACAGGCCAGTGCATGGCAAGCTTGCAGGAAGTCTCAGGAACCATAGTGAAGCTGGTCAAATCTAGTCACCACAATATGCTGCTGTCTTTATCAACCAGTGGCGTTCTTTCCATCTGGGATATAGACATCATCACAGCTATGTCCAACATAGATAAAACCGGAAAACCCATCCAGAGTCTGGTGTTGCCTGCCAGAGGGGAAATCATTTACTCTCTCGATGGCTCTGATTGCGTTCATAAGTGGAACTTCAGCAGTGGGTTCATTGAAGCAGTATTTAAGCATGAAGGGATAGTTGAACACTGTGTGTTAACTTCTGCGGGAGACCTCATGGTGACATCAGATGACAAAAGCAGCCAATATGTCTGGCATACCAGCAGTGGGGAAAACCTCTTCCGAATTAATGGGCAGAGGATATCTCAGCTGCTGATCACACATAATGACCAGTTTGTGGTCTCTCTGTGTGAGGAAAATGCCTCCAGGGTTTGGAGACTGGCCACAGGCCACAGAGTCTGCAACATCTTGACCACTTTGCAAAATGCCTTCATTACCTCTGCAAACACCTTCGTGGTTGGAATGACCAAAAGCAAAGTGCTGGCAGTCAGTCTTTGGACGGGAAGTATTACCAAGAAATTTTGCTGTGAAGATGGGATCACCATTGTGAATTTTAAGTTGATCCCCGACTGTCCTGACATCATCGTGTTTATCACATCGGCTGAGACTGTAAACATCTGGAGTCTGACTGACGAAGTGATCTGTCGACGCGTGCAGCTTCCAAGCAACTTCTTGAAAAACCTGGAGGACTTTGAAATCTCTCCCAATGGGAAGCTAGGCATTCTATCCCGGGGAGATGAAAACATCAATGTGCTAGATTTACACAGTGGAAAATTGCGGGTGGTTCATGCCTCTGGGGTCATCTGGAGGCAGAGACTCTCTCGAGATGGTCGCTACCTGGTATATATTTGTTTTCGGAATGGGGAGGAGGAGGAGGAGAATGATGCCACCTCTAGCTTAATTGTCATGAGACTGGCTGATGGCAAAAACATCGGTGCTTGTTCCCTTTACAAAACACCAACTTTCCTTGCACTCTCACAGAGACACCTGAACATCATTGTCGGCTTTGATGATGGGAGTATAGGAATATACACAGTGGTGGATCGTGTTGATGCTGCGCTGAAAATCAAAATTGCCACTTCAAACAGCAGGCAGATCTTCAACAATGCAACACAGACATCCAGGCCAAAGTCAAACAGTTACTCCTTTAAAGTGTCCGTGGACTGCCTATGGAGAGAGTCCACTGAGGTCTTTGCAAGAGACAGCCCTATCACCGTGAGTGACTCCTCAGAGTCCAATGAGGCAACACCGTCCAAGAAACACAACTCTTGTTATGATCGGGTGTGTGCTGCCCTTGAATCCCGGAGCCACAGCTATACACCAGATAACTGACATGATGTTTATCCTGCACAACTGAAATACATAATCCACATACAACAGAAAAAAAAAGCAAAGTGAATCTTCTGCACCACAATGATAAGCTGCTCGTTTCTTAAAAGCAGGAAAGATGCTGGAATTCTCAATTGACTAATATCCTTGTGAAAAGAACAGAACTCTGAGACTTGACTTGGGTGCCATCTCTTTGTCCAAATGTGTTAGACAAATAGAGAGCTTCCATAAGTGATAGTGAAATGGCCATTTCACCTAGAAAATAGAGGATAAAGTCTTTTAAATTTGCTGTATAATAAGAATCAGCACAATTCACTACACTGATTCAGATGAGAGAAACTAGACTTGCAGGTAAATCAGTTGGACTAGAAATAGTTCTACAGAAGCCAGTTGAAATCATGATGGCAAAGAACTATCTGTCTCTGAATGGTGGTGTGGTAGCAAATTGCAGCCTTAATCTCTCTTTACGTTTCCCAATCCTGACAACTGTGTAAACTTAGTCTGCATACAAGAGGTCTAACGGTGCAAAATCATGTCTGAAAGATGTCCAGCTGTGTTCCCGTTTCCCAAGACACCACATAAAATCTGAGCTGGTGGACAGACTGGGAGAAGAACTAACTACCACTATTATAGGGCTACTGAACACGGAGAGTCAGTCTTCATCAAAACACACTCACAGCAACTGCATGCAAAGGTTTCTGTGTCATGGACTATATCATTTTTAAACTATTTCTTTCTTGGATTGCAAAAGAACCCACTTAATAAGAAACTGCAATCTTTTTACACCTTTTCTTGAGATGCATATTTGTGATGAGTGTAAAGAATTATAGAAAGGGCATTACAAACTTGGTCAAAACACCTGTTCATTTCTTTCATTGTACTAACAAGAGTCTGTACTCTTCAGTCAGCTGTTGGGAAGCCTAAGTTATTTCCCAGACCCCTGCAGTTATCTCTTAATAGGAAGCAAGCTTTTTCAACACACCATCTCTGACACACTGATGACATTGCCTTACTCTCTCATTCCTTCTCTCTCCCGTGTAAAAGTGCAGATACACGACCAAATACTCTGGGACAAACTGAATATGCCTGTCTCTGTGCTAAAATATCCCATATATCTTAAGGGTGTCCAAAGGTTCTTACCATCTCTGTTTGTAATCACTTTCTTACTTCTATACACTGTATGTATGCTTCTTTACCTGTTCCACTTCCAGACTGAGGACTTTCCTAGTCTTACCATTTCAAAGCAGAAACTATGAAATGGTATATATATATATATATTTTTTTTAAAAAAACGACTTTACCAATTTGAAGGAAAACACATCTCAGAAGGTGAAAGTGATTTTCTTCCTTCCATGTCCTCCCCATGGCATGTCCGGGAAGAACTTTCAAGGGGGTCAGGAGCAATGGTTGGTTTGATTTTCTTGGAAAGTGGAAGTTCCTTAAATCAGGCCAGTGGACAAAGAACCGGCTTATTTTTGTCCCAGCTCCGCTGCGAACTCATCATGCTCCTGTACCTGACTTTTAACCTCACCAGTGTATTGCTTTTGTGGACTGCACGGGAAAGGGGGAGATGGTTTCTGCTCCAGCCTGGAGGCCTGGTGGGGATGCCGGGAGTACCCTGAGAAACACGTCACTGCTGTGACATACTGATTGCCAACACAAAGGGAAAAACAAAGTTATCTAAGCCCATAGAGAGTCCAAGTCGACTGTATTTCACCGGTGAAAAGGTTTAACATGTAAGCATTCGAAGGCGTCACTCAGATACCAACACCTTACTCCGTGGTGAAACACTTTTTTAGGTGTGTTCCTCGTAGTGTAGCTACCAGCCAGTAGGAGGAAGCCCAGGGAGGGCTAAGATCCATATACCCATCATCTGGAGCCCATACTTTTAGCTCTTCGGCCAACATGTTCTTATCCCTGTCCTTATCAGTTGAACCTCCACGCCATACATTTCTAAGAATTAAATGCCTAGATGGATTAAATGTAGTGTGTGAGTGTCCTGTGTAAAAACTAATAGAGTATATCAAGTGACCTGAGTGATTTTTTTTCCTAACATGTTTGCAACTGATAGCTCATACTGAATGTTTTTATGTAAACTTTGTATTGTTGGGATGAACTACCCAATCAGAGATTTATATTTTCATAAATGTTACATTTAGTTCAATTTTGTTACAGAGTTGTTACACTAGACAATTATTTCAGTGTTCGAACAATATACGGTCTTGTGTATGTATCGTTTGTATGAATAAAAGATGAGCTACTTAGGCTTGAGTACCGTTTATTTTTTTCACCACTGAGGCTGGCCAGACATAGAGGACCTCAAGCACCAGTGATTATTCAAATTTACCAAAGGTACACTAGACCTGTTCTGGGAGTTTCCAGGCACATAGCCGTGCCATCTGCACCACAGCCTCATGAGTTTGATACTATACCTACTCCACGTTTCTAGGGAGAAAGCTTAGACATAAAGATGATGGGCGGGACGCCGGTATACCACCAGCATCTTCGTTAACTTTCTCAACGCACATCAAAATACTCAGTACCCAGCAGTCACTCAGTGACGGTAACTTCTAAGCTATTGACTAATGTGCAGGGGAGAGATTCGGCTAGTTTGTTAAAGATCACTGGAAGTTACCATAAATGCCTGGGTATGTTTTGTTGTTTTGTTTTCCTTTTCTCCAGTCTACAGGGAGAGTTGATGAACTCCGTCAACAAATGTTTACCTAAATCACAAATTTCACCAAGAACACAGAAGCCAGTAAAAAAGCTCTTGCCTTATAGAATTTCAGATTCAACAAGAACACAGGGAGGAAATAAGTTCTCTGTGTATATGTGCAAGGGCACACAACTTCCTCTTGTGGCTGAAGAAGGGAAAAGTGGTGACCAAGAACTGGAGCCACTCATAAATTCCGAAGTGAGTGAGCAAAACGTAGGAGAACCGTTCTGGATACCTTTGTATCACACACACACACACACCACATACACACACACACATCACACACACCACATACACACACACCACATACACTACACACATATATACACACACCAAATACACACACACACACACCACATACACACCACACACACACACACACACACACACACACACACACACACACCCCTTTGGTCTCAGAATTCTCATATACACCAAAAAAAAGGATATCTTTAAACATGGCGGTATTGGAAAGCTTCAGTGAAATAAACAATAATCAGATGAAACCTTGTATATAGTTCTCAACAAAGCAAACACTCTCAAAAAAAAAAAAGACAACTCAAAATTCAACGTTTAAAAGAAAACTAACTTTTCTTACCCTCATCTCTTTCTGGTTGAAACAAACCTCAGTTTCTCCCCACTGACTCCAACACCCAAAACAAATTCCAAAGTCTTTTTTGATCAGAATAACCTAATTCATATATAAATGGACCAGTAACACCATGAATATTTCTGACAAGGCTGGAAATTGAACCTGAGAATCACTTATTGTGACAAGAATTTTTTCCTTCAAATCAATAAATAGCATTTAACAACGTATAAATCCCCTCATAAATGTACCATTTGAAAGCGCACAGCTTTCTTAGTGCGAGAAAGGGCCGAAAATCATTACGTGTTCTCCCATAGAGCGTAGTAAATGCCTGTGAAGGCAGCAGGTATCTCGAACGCAAACACTCTGAGAAACTACCGCTCTTAAGGTCTTTGGGAAGTCCTACGTCTGGTTCCTTCTCCAGCATCGTGTTTTATCCTCTTTCACTGGGAGGCTTGGAGCGTGGAGGGGAAGGCTAGTAAGCTAGATGGCGCAGTTGCTCAACACATTTCTTGGCAAGCTCCAGAGCCCTGGGCCAGGTAGAAAGAAGACCCAAACCTTAAACCGAATTTCAGGATTAAGCCACCCATTCTCCAGCCGTCCTAAGTAAAGCTCCGTGAGTTTGATGGAGCGTCCCACATCCTGACACCCCCAAGGGAAGGGGTCTGGAACCGGGGTTCTTTCACTCCCGCCACTATAGCCAAGCTTGCAGCCCCTGGGAGTGACCGTCGCAGCGGGGTCTGGGCTGTGTGTCCAGCCAACCAGGCAAGGCGACCAGCGGTGCGCGCGCGCGATCTGGCAACTAACGCGGGCTGCCTCGCTGACCCCTCACTCAAGCCTGGATCCTGGGACGGTCCCCTGGTCCCTGCAGCCTGCGTCCGCCGGGACGGGGCGCAGGTAAAGGGTTACGCGTGGCTGGGAGGCTCGCCCGCTGCCCGCCCACGTGACGCGCCGGCCCAATGACCGCGGCCCGGCTGCGGCTGCAGCGCGGCGGGCTCCCGGCGGCGGCACTGAGCCACACTCGGCGTGTCCCAGCGCGGACGCCCGAGGCCCCCCGAAGCCATGGGCGCCCCGACCCTGGAGACGCCGCCCCGCCGCAGGTAAGCAGCGGCCCGGCCCGCGTCGGGCTCCGCGGGGAGGCGGAGGAGGGCTGCTGGTCCTGGGCGGGAGTCCTCGCTTCGTTCCTCGATCGCTCTCACGTCTCGGTTCCCCTTCTCCTGGAGGGACGCGGGGAGAAACGAGGCGAGGCGCCCCGTGGTTTGGATGACTTCGGGGGAAAGTCACGGAATTCAAGCAAAGCGCGGGCAGAGAGGCAACCTGGCGGGCGGCACGGTTCGGGTTCCCAAACTAAAGGCGTCCGTGCTGTGCTGGTTGAGTAAAATGTTTGGGTTTTGAAAACTCCCAATTCATGAACTCCCAGCAGTGCCTGGGAACTTAAACTGGACAAGCTGCAAGAGCTTTTTCCCATCTGCCTGTGTTCAGGGTTCACCATATTTTAGCATCGGGGAGCTTTTATTGAATAAAACGGGAAAGGGAGTTTGACCGCCCCCGCCCTTTCTTGGAAATGCCCTTGGGTTCTGGGATTGGATCTAAGGCCATGGCAAGGGGTGCGTGGAGGGACTGCCACACCGTGGTGCTCCGCAAGAGCCTGGGACTGGGAGAGTGGGCGCCAGATGCAAACGGTTAAAGGGTCTCACAGCTGTAAATGTTTAAATAGGCAAGTGTCTCCCAGGTCAGTCACCTGGGGCTCCGTGGCCTGGGCAGTCCTGATGAAGTGATATTTTTCATAAAGTCACCAATGAAGAATTTTCCAGTCACACCAGGCAGATAGCAGTGGGCTTTTATCCCTTCCAGAGCCGTAATTACCCTTAAAAGCTAAACAAAATAACCCCATCTGCAGTGACTCCGAACGTTTTATTTTCCATCGTAGTGTGGACACTTGCGCGATGAATGTCGAGGAAGTGGCTATTCTAGGATACGATTCAAAGTAAAGAAAGTGAATCTCGTCTCCCCGTCGCTGTTGATGCGAACGTGTTGGTGGTGGCTTGTGGACAGATGCTTTGGGTGCTTGTAACTTAGCTATGGTGAAAAAAGAGAAGCCTGAAAAAGTGGACAAAAAAGAAATGGGAGTCGTTGTTTTTAGAGGTGGTAGGTTCTGTATTTGCTGGAGTTTTTTCCTCCCGTGTAATTTTCCAGTTAATACTATTTTAAGAAGGGTAGTATCTCCCACAAAAATTTCCAGCTAATTCTATTTAAGAAGGATACACTAGCCTCTACACCTAAGCACCAGTGTCCCGTAAACACCACCTTAGCCCCTTTGGTAAAATTCTCTGTACTGGGGGAAGATCTCTGTAACAATAATATGAAGCTCCTATCATCAAGGAGAGTCCTTGTTTGTGTTTCTCCAAAGTGTGAAAACTCAGGAAACAGGCAGCTCCAAGGTCCACTGACGAGAAATAAAGGTGGCAGATCCAGGACAGTGACTTGTGATTCATCTCTCCTGCTCACCCACTCTGCCCATCTTTTGATCCTGTTCCTTGTCTTATTCTACAAATAAATGTTTATTTTACGTCCCCCGAAACTTACTGTCCGTGAAGATTTTGATATCTGATAGTGTCCAAATTTAAATGTGGCCCATTTAAATGTGCTCACTACATTCCAAAGAGATTTTACACACCCGAATTTTGAAAGGAAACAAAACCTTGCTTATTGCTTGAGCATGTACTCTTTCCTAAAAATGGAAGGAGTTCCTCACTTCTGACCCTGCCCTTCTCAGAGCTTGAAAACTGTGTTCTCTAAGACGCGTGGCCAGGAGCCAGTCTCGGCCCAAGGGCAAAGCAGGTGCTGACCCCTTTCCCCTCAGAACTGCCTGGTGGAGGTGCTCCAGGAGCCCATTGCCTGGGCTTCCAAGAAAGGACTCTGGTTTTCTACTAACTGAATACTAACCTCCTCAAACCTAGTTTCCTCTCTCTAAACAGTGTCTCACATGTTCCTAGTTAGACAGTTTCCCAGTGACCCTGAATCTTGGGCTCTTTCAGGTTCTTGCTTAAAGAACCTATTTCGTTTCTAATGGGATCATTAGAGTGGTTGTCTGGTTAGTCTCCCTAGATAATTCAGAAAAGACGAGCTGGCGAGAGCTGACGGGACCATCGTAGGGGAAGGACAGGTGTGGAGAATTCCCTGTCTGCAGGTCAGATGGGGCAGGCACCCAGTCATGGTCTTTTTAGTGCCTGCTCTTAACCCCAGAGCCATGCTGGCCTCTAGCTGAAATCTTTCTTACTCTGGTTATTTCCTGAATACTCCTGAAGAGAGCAAACTGAAAATCAAATCATTCATGTTTTCGCCATGATTGGGATCTTCAGAAAGATGGTAGACCATCAAAATGACCCTGTCTTAAAAACATACTTTAAACAAGGAGCTGTGAATATGTGTTCTGAAGCAGATAATGAAATAGCTTAACCTATGATTCGGTGTTGTTAGAAAACCTAGACACTACTGAGCTGCAGTGAATGTTAACCGAGATCAGATATGGTGACTTTCGTTATGTGGTTATACCTTAGTTAGTGTGGTGTCTGACATTTCACCGTGAGCAATAAGCTCTACTCAGCACACAGGTGTCTCTCTAAAATCAAATGAACTCTGTCTGGCCTGGCCTTAGAGATCACACGTGTGTGAACCCCGACTCCAGGCCGTTGCCAGGGACACAGCTGCAGCCTCAAGAATCTAGTCTTGGGAGAGTCCTTTGAAGCAAAGCCCATGTCTGTTCTTCCAAGTTTGCTCTGGCTGCCGTGAGAAGGATGGCATGAGAGAGACCACAGACATGGCCGAAGGCAGCTGCTGCACGAATTCACAGAAGATCGGACGGAGAGGCCAATCAATTCAGAAGCTCTTTAGGCACCTACAATCTTAACTGTGGGAAAGTTTTAGTGACTCTGGTCTTTGATGTTGGTTTGCATGCCCTTTCCAAATTAGTTCTCCCACCCCCCCGCCCCAGATTGGTAAACCTAAGCCCGGCTTCCATACAGTGCTCCTCCTATCGAGTACAGTGCTCCTCCTATCGAGTACAGTGCTCCTCCTATCGAGTACAGTGCTCCTCCTATCGAGTACAGTGGCCCTGCACTTGACATAGTTTGTTTCCATCACAGAAAGAAGGCCAATGAGATAGATAATGAGGTGCATATTCTTAGCAACTTACTTCTTCTTTATGTAGACTTTGAAGTGTTAAGGCAAAAATGAAGATAAACGATTGCCTCACATATACCCTCTCTCTCGTGTACCTTCAGTTCCTGTAGGAATAAAAGACTTTGAGTTGTTTAATCCCCAAGTTGGCCCGAACTTGGGCGGCTCTGTGTCGCAAAGAGGGCAGACTGTGTTTGGAAGAGTGTTAATGGTCTATGAAAAACCTTTCGTGCTGGGGAGGGGAGTCGTCTTTGTAGTTGACTCCCAGCTGTACACAATGTGTACTGGTATACATTTTTAATATGTTTGGAAACTCACCGTTTATTAGCCACGGAAAGGATTGCTACAGAGAAGAATTTTGAAATTTCTTTTCATCTCGTTCTCCATGCCACCCTCACCCCATCTAATAGCTGAGCACCTAAACTGGTCATTTATGAGCAGGAAATGCAAAGATTTGGCTAGAGATTATTGAGCAGTATACTTCTTGTCTCATGACTAGACTGCTGGCAATTATCGCTTCTCCCAAACATGTACTGCAACCTAGAAATGAATGCACAAAGTTGCCTTCCACCTGTAAATCATTGTCATCATTCTACAACCTTGGCTCTTCTCTGATCCCTGCTGAGCTTAGCTATTTGGGTCCATAGTCCACAAAGAACTTCCACCCTAGTGGTTCAATATATGGCTATTATGGTAACAGTGAGATATTTTAGTCACCACCCACTGTGAGCCAGCAAAGAAGTACAGGGAAGTTTGTCTGTGATCAAACTATCAAAAAGTAATAGGATGATTATTGTTATTATCAGAGTTCAGAACTGTCTTTTAGTAAATAAGTATTTTTGAAAAAAAAGAAACCTAAAGAGTCACTTCTTCTAAATAATTTACAGATGAGGAAAAAGGAAACTAGATCAAAGAGTTTGTCAAACAATATTGTAGAAGTTCGTACAGCTGCCCACTAGGTCCAGAGACCTGGTTCTTTGTGCTTCCTGCTACTGACTAACAAGCATACATTTTAGGATACAGAAATCCCATTTTCAATTAGCCTTTGCCCTAACATATAGTTAGCCTCTGTTTATTGAAAAATTGCTTGTGTATCCAGCATTAGTTGTCTGTTGCTGTGTAACAAATGAGCCCAGGATTGTTAACACATGTTGGTAACAAGCATAATGACCTCAAACAACCACTGTTGGTTGAGTTTATGATCCTATAGGTCAGCAGTTTAGGCTGAGTTCAGCTGGGTGAGTCTTGTCCAAGCTCTTTCATGTGTCTGTGCTCACCAAGGTAGCACTACCTGGAGTCTTAGCTGACTATCGACTGAGTCACCTGGGGAGCATCTGAGTCTGAGTTCAGTGGTTCACAGACTGCTTACCTGTTGTCTCTACTCGGTGTCCGGAGGGAGAGAGAAGCAAGGCCCTGTGAGGCCTAGGCTCAGCTGATCCAACTCATTTTTTTTTTTCTATGAGTGTACTTTGAAAAGCAAGTCAGGGAGCCAGTTCTAATTCAGGGGATGGGGAAACAGACCTCACTTCTTAATGGGAGAAGCTACAAAGTCACATTAAAAAAAAAAAATTGCGGGTTGGGGCTTTAGCTCAGTGGTAGAGCGCTTGCCTGGCAAGCGCAAGGCCCTGGGTTCGGTCCTCAGCTCTGGAAAAAAAAAAAAAAATCCTTGGATTCAAGGAGAGGTGGACACTTGTGGCCGTTTTCAAAGCCTGCCGTATGGATCAACCCCACACTTCACATCACTCACCAACTCCTGGTGCCTGTAGCTAAGGTAGAATTCCACCTTACAGGTAAGGAAGCTGAGAGCCAGATTTGTTAGCCAGGGTCAGGCAAAGGACATGGCTGCTGAGTGCTGGATCAGCCTTGATTCCTAGACCTGACTGGAAACTACCATGTAACACTGGCTGTGTTCTGCCACAGT